AATATTGATGAGGAAAGTTGGATGATGGGGTGAGATTGACTGCTAAATACTGGGAAAGAATTCCCTATAGTTATCATTTCACCTCTTTACTGAGTCACTTTGTCTCTCTTTTCATCTTACTTTGAATATCCTCATGATACTGCTTTTTCTGATCTCACTTTTTGATTCCTCTCTACACTTATCAATCAAATCTTTTGGTTTCCTTAGTTTTATTCTGTCTTCAGTTACTTGTTTTGGCATCTCCTGGTGTTTCTGAATATCAGGGTATTTTCTGAGTCAGAACAAGTTTTTTTCTTTGTTTTCTCATTATTTCTCTCTCTCTTGGGGTTCATGTGCAATTATATATTCAATATCACACTTCTTTATCATGTCAAAAGCAACTTGAGAAACTGTAAGTCCTTTCTGGTGTGAGGGAATTGGCCATCTGCAGAAACTTTGACCAGGAGATGCCTGGATGTGTTACCAGCCTTTGGAAGGCTTATCACATGTCCCCACATGGGAAGCTGGAGCTGACAGCTCACCCTATCTTGCGGTTCTGCCAACCTTCCGGTCAGCAGTTCAGTCCACACAAGGAGTTAACCCATTGCATCACAGTGGCTCCTACAATATCATGCGGCCTTCTATAAATTCAGGCATGCATTATGGGTTTCAGAATCCAGAGCTAGCTTGATCATTAGGCAGAGTGAGCAAAATCCTCAGGTGTTGGGAAACCTTCCTGCATACATGCTCTCTCCTAAATCCTGCAAAAGTTCTATGTTAGAAGACAGAAGTCAGGGCCATAGCCAGAAAATAATTTCGGGAGGGGTTGAAATTTTCGGGGGGGGGGGAAATTTTCGGGGGGGGGTTGAAACCTGCCTCCTAGCTCACGCTGAAGCAAAGAGCACAGCAGGGGCAGAGCAGCCTTCAATAGCCTGCAGCTCCGCCCTTGTCAACCACCTCCACCAAGTCTGGCCTCCTTAATGAGAGCATTCAACATCCCCCCCCCCAACTTGGTTGCTTCACTACTGTTCTGTCACGCGCTGGGCCTGTAAATAATTGTCTTTAGAACAGGATGTGCAACCTTTGCCCAGCGGGAAGCCAGGGGGCCTAAAGAGAAGTTCTCAGAGGTTTCCACCACAAACAGTCTTTAGATGGCTTGAGAAGTACAACAAAGTCTTTTATTAATGAACAATCAAACAGAAACTTCTCTTGTCTTCAGTAAAGTTAAGCAAATGATTCCAAGCTTTTAGGCAACTGGTGAATTCCTAATCTTGCCCACGAAGGACAGGCAACTGTCTTCAATAACTTCTTCTTTAAAGGAAAACCCCCATTTTAACTTCTCCCAGGCTGACTGTAATCTAACCCTTACTGATGTGGGCTCCACTACCAGGTCGAACTGCATCTCGAACGCCGAGTGGACCTACCAGCAAGGCAGTAGATGTTCTCCAGCTGGAGTTCTTTGGTCTTTAGGGCTGTTTTCCTGGAAATTCTTTGGAGACTCTTAAGACCTTGCTCCCCTGGAAGGTCTTAAGGGTTGAAGCTTTTGTACAGGGGAAACTTGCACACATCCCATGCATAAGCTTACCTTGCTGAGACTAACTAAAAATGGCTCCCTTCCCTTCCCAATTGCCCTGAGCAAGGGGTGGAACCAAAACTTAACAATGATGGACAGGTGACTTGCCCTATGACTGCAACCAAAGAAGCCACCTATCTGCAGAGTCCCTGAAACCTAGGACTGCAAGCAAACATTTAATACAAAGCAAATAAAGTTGGAGCTCCTGGTACAGCTGTACCAGAACAACTACATCGGCTATTGCTGCAAGTAATGACAGTGTGAATAAATTGCTAATATTTGCTTGAGATAGTGCTTGCAGTTCTGGAGGGACTCTTGATTTTTTGCATCTCATAGACTTAGCATGGGATTTGGTTAACCAGTTAAAATTCATGAGTAAACCAGGTTTTTTTTAAAAAAATCTGAAACATTTCGGGGGGGGGGTTGAACCCCTAAAACCCCACCCTCGCTACGGGCCTGACAGAAGTGTTCTAGTCCTTCAAAATTAACTGCTTCTTCTCTGGTTTCTGGTTGCTTCTGGATCTAGAAACAACATCATACGAAAGCTGACTGGCACAACCTGGGGATCACAACCAGACACAGTGAAGACATCTGCCCTTGCGCTTTGCTACTCTGCTGCTGAGTATGCATGCCCAGTGTGGAACACATCTCACCCCACTAAAACAGTAGATGCGGCTCTTAATGAGACATGCCGCATTATCAGGGTGTCTGCACCCTACACCACTGGAGAAATTACACTGCTTAGCCGGTATTGCACCACCTGACATCTGCCGGGAAGTAGCAGCCAATAGTGAAAGGACCAAGGCAGAGACATCTCCAGCTCATCCCCTGTTTGGGTATCAGCCAGCACGTCAACGACTTAAATCAAGACATAGTTTTCTTAGATCTACAGAGACACTCGCTGGAAAACCCCAGCAAGCGAGAGTCCAAAAGTGGCAGGCCCAAACCCAGCACCTCAATTCATGGGTGATACGAGATGAGAGACTCCCCCTGGGCACACAGAAGACTGGGCGACTTGGAAGGCGCTGAACAGACTGCGCTCTGGCACCACGAGATGCAGAGCCAATCTTAAGAAATGGGGCTACAGGGTGGAATCCTCGGCATGCGAGTGCGGAGAAGAACAACCCACTGACCACCTGCTGCAATGCACCCTGAGCCCTGCCACATGCACAATGGAGGACCTTCTTGCGGCAACCCCAGAGGCACTCCAAGTGGCCAGATACTGGTCAAAGGACATTTAACCAAATACCAAATTTGCAAAATCTGTGTGGTTTTTTTTTCCTTTTTCTTTTTAATCCGTGTGTTTGTTTTGCTCTGTTAGAATTGTAATACAATGGTTGCTGATGACATGATAAATAAATAAATAACTCCTTCAATTGTGGGTAAAGGATGCCAAGACCAAAGTAAGAGTGTTCTGCCAGATTTACATAGAACTAGTTGTGGGTACCATTTCAGCTATCAAACTGTATTGAACTGTATTGAACTGTTGGAATATATTCTTTTAATGTTTTGCTACTTACTGTATCTCCTTCACCTTCCTGGTATTTGGCATTGTAAATGCAGCAATTAAAATATGCTGAAGTTAAATTTCAAAACTTCTGGTGAAGGGTTATGTGACCAAACCACAGAGGAAAATTTTATGCTTCCATTTCAGCAATATGAGAAACCATCTCATTATGATTTTCTTATCGATGGGGTTACCTCTGGAGCCTGGCTAAGAATAGATTTCATTAAAAGGGTAATCCTGTTGAGTTTCCAGCTTATCAGTTGGAAAGGACATGAAACATGATGTGTTGATGCCCCTTCATTTTTGAATCACACTGAGAATGCCTTTACTTCCAAATTACATTGTACAGCCTGGTACAAATGACTGATCTTTTTCTAGTGTCAAATACAGTGTTGTGATTGTAACTTAAGGATAGAGAATTCCATTTATATCTTAGCAGGTTGAAGGCCTGCAAATAAAAGGACAAGTATATCATTTTCAGCCTGGTTAGGAAAGAAGGCAGCAGTATGTGTTTTGTTTGTACCCCAACTACCAAATCAAAACTAAAATCCAGATTATATATTTGTTGAGGGAAGACTTTGACAAAGTTAGTTTTCTGGGGGGTAAATTGTCTTCAAGTCATTTCTGACTTATGGTGACCCTGGACCCCTGGATAAACCTATCATGGATTTTCTTGACAAGATTTGTTAAAAGGGGGTTAGGGGTTTTACTGTTGCCATCCTCTGAGATTGAGAGTGTGTGACTTGCCCAAGGTCAACCCAGTAGGTTTCTGTGGCTGAGCAAGGATTTGAGGGTTTGTCTCCAAAATCATAGTTCAGTGCTCAAACTCCCCAAATCACCTAGTCAGGATGGTATGCAATGTATATAATTTTAGTCCAAAGAAATAACCTGCCCAAGTTCTGGTTGAGGGATTCCCCTAGATACAGAATGGATAGATATTTCTCCTTTGACAGAAATAAATACTTGGGACAACATTCATGAGTTGAACTCCACAAATAGATCTTTTGAACACGAGCCTCTGGTGATAGGTAAGAGAAATCTGTTGCTTCTTCACCTGTCTATGGGCCTTTCAAAGTTATCTCAGTGGTCATTACTGGAGAGCCAATGCTGGACTTCATCAATATTTTAGCAGATATAGCAAGAAATAGATTGGTTGTAGCAGGCTGAACTAGATATCTGTCTTCTAGATATGACTGAATGAACCATAAAATATATTGTGTGATTTTTTGCCAGGCTGACTCAATCTAAAAGTGTTATTATAAAGTTACAAGGAGGATGAAGAGTGCCATGGAAGTGTAGTGTAGGGCATCAACATAGCCAATAAGTAAATAAATACTCTGGGTTTGTTTTTTTTTGTTCCAGTGTCTATAGCAAAATAATAATGATATAAGTTGAGCTTACCTTTTCTGAAATGCTTGGGACCTGATGTTTTTCATCAACCCCCCCCCCCAATTTCTGGAATACCTGTATCTGCATATACATTGTGAATAAAGAAAAGGGGATTAACCTTTGTCCCCCCTCCCCCTCAGAGAGCCCCCACTCTGTCACTGCTAGAATCCTGACAGGACAAAGAGGATATAATACGCAAAGTTCCTTCAAAAAACAGATATTCCAGACTCTTCTATGGCTGTTGGCAATCTTTTCACCCTTATAGCAAAGGAGCTGGAAAGGAAAATCCCCTTTCTGCTATGGGTCTTTTAAAAAATCTCTTTGGGCTAGATATAGGTGGTGACGAATAGGGTCTAGCCTTGAGGCACATTTCCAGGATGCCTGTCCTACCACATGCCATCATTGCCTTGGCTGAAGCCAAGCTGGCAACTGGTCGCAAAAGGTTTCAGTTTGGGGGGTATTTCAGCATTTTCGGTTAAAAGAGACTCGGCTTGTAACAAAAGGAATAAGAATGCAAGTAATGATTTCTGTTATTTTCTATTTGGCAGATTATTCTGTAAGGATCTATTCGTAAGTGAACACATCATTTCCTCACTCGTTCACAATCATTAAGGACTATTTTGCTGCAACGGCTTCCATCTCAAAAGTCACTTATTCCTGGACCAGACTCCAACAAATAGGTAAAATAGATTTTAAGTTACATACATTTGAGAGGATTATATGATATGTGATGGATTTGTTAATTCACTTTACTATATGTGGTGCCTTTTATATGGCCAAGGATTACTTGTAGACTAGCCTTGCTTACCAGTGGAACTATGTACTTCTTCTTCTCTATTAACCAAAGTAAACAGATTTTTTCTTTTGAAAAAAAAAGATTTTTTTTTGCATGTATTGCTATATGTTTGGAAAGCAGGGATGTAAACCTTTCATTGTCTTGTCTTCACATGCAAGGGAAAATAAGTTACATAGTTTTTTCTTTGCTGCAGGAGAAAAAAAATGTGGATCTCTTCCCTAATAATTTTATATCATAAAGTAGTTTGAGATTTTTCTCCTAGGCATTAATATACAGATAGGCATATGGGAGAATGTGTTTTTTGTATGAAGCCACTATTTTGTCAGGAGTGACTTAAGAAACAGCAAGTCGCTTCTGGTGTGAAAGAATTGGCCATCTGCAAGTTCGTTGCCCAGGGGATGCCCAGATGATTTGATGTTTGTATCATCCTTGTGGGAGGCTTCTCTCATGTCCCCATATGAGGAGCTGGAGATGATAGAGGGAGCTCATCCGCCTCTCCCCAGATTCGAACTTGTGACCTGTCGGTCTTCAGTCCTGCCGGCACAGGGGTTTAACCCACTGCGCCATTGGGGGCTCCTAGGTCAGGAAATAGCCCTTTAGATCTATTTTCTTATGTCTGGTCTCTTTATTTTATGGTGGGAATTCAAGATCTTGACTTGGATTGGTTTCTTGTTCAATGTTCTTAGTAAAGTCGGATTAGGAATACATGCATTCCTACTACCTACTTAATATGCCAAATCTCACTGACTTGCATATCTTCAGAAGGTACATGATCATAAATTTAATAAGGAATTCAGGGGTTGAGTCTCACTGATTTTTTGTTTTAGATTTTCTTTCCTTTTGAGTATTTAGTTCTTCAGGCTAAACCTGTTTGATTGCTCATTTTGAGGAGAGGCATTTTGACTGTTTTTCAGGTGTGGAATAAAATAGTTGTATGCCAAATGGTTTGAAATGCTGCCAATCTCCTAAGAAGAGAGGTTATGCATAGTGTAGCTGACTGCTTCCTTTCTCTGAGACAGAAGTGGGCGAAGGAGATACTTTCTTACACTATAACTTACACACCCCTCCAATGATGTTGCTGCTGGTGGTGATGATGACTGAATCCTATATCAGTTATAATCCAGCATGGTGTAGTGATGTAAGTGTAGGACTATGACTGTGATTCCCTTACTTGGCTGTGGAACATGGGCAAGTCATGTTGTCTCAGCCTCAGAGGAAGGCAAAGGCAATCCCTCTGTAAACAAATCTTGCCAAGAAACCCCCTCGATAGACTTGTCTCGGGGCCTTCATATGTTGGAAATGATAAAGTCTCACCATCAAGCAAGGCTGTGGCAATAGGAATCAATGTTATGTTTCCTCAAACCATCAGAGATCATTGGTGGAAAAAGGTGGAAATGTTTTCCTGGTGCACCAGCAGAATCAGCCTCCATTGCTTCCAGCAGCTGCTGGCTGTTACGGTACATTTGAAGGTTAGGAAGCAAAATATTACTTATTTATACTTTTGTAATTCAGTGAGCAATGCAGGATTTTAGCCAGCAGCAACAACAACAATTCATGATAATAATGATTATCATCACCACACTTCTGATAATTTCCTGGATCTTGAAAATTTAATTATCTGAAATAAATCTGAGTTATTTCAACCTATTCTAGTGTCTTCTTATCCAAAGCAAAACAAACACAAAAGTTCAAAATCCATTCTGTTTAAACTGATGATTCCCTCCATTTCATGTACTATCATATGTTCATTTCCCAAATAGCCTCTCATCACATCTAATCCTTATGCTACTCATAACAAAGGGAGTAGGGAAGGAGGTATTATCATAATGCATGTATACCTGATTTGTGTTTCTTACGTAAAATAGACCTTTGTTCAGTTCTAATGCAACTCATTTATGCTCTTCTGCATATTTGATTTACCATTGCAAAAACATTTGTGTCTGATGCAGGGTGATTTGCAACTCCATACAGGGCACCTCCATTATCACAGTTTCCCTGGACTCATCAGTACAAAGAAAAGGTAATGGGTTGTGCCCATGTTGATCCTGCCACCACTCTTAGCTGGTTGCAAAGCTCTGTATGAGCTCCTGGTCACTATGGGCATCTCGTAGTGAAATCAACAGAGGGATCATGAACAATAAGAAGGTGGAGGAATATGCCCCTCCCCCTTCCTGGTCATGCAGGCACTTTGACTGATGTCAACATAGGGCACTTTCAATGGCCAGGAGCTCATCCAGAGCTCTGCAGCCAATTGAGACAGCAGTGATGAAATGGAAGATGAGATGACAGCTCAGTGCGGTTTATATCTTACTTACTTAGGCAAACCCTTATTGTCCAAGTAAGATTGTCCTCCAAATTAGGTGTTCTGACGGTGGGTATGTAGGAAACTGTGGAGCCTGATCCTTGACCTGCATGTTCTCCCACAGTGAGGGCATCAGTTTCCAGGTGGGAGATGATCCTGGTTGGGATTGGCTTGACACATCTTCCTCTTGGCATGTTTCGCTCTTTCGCCCTCCATTTGTGCCTCTTCAAATTCTACAGCACTGCTGGTCACAGCTGACCTCCAGCTAGAGCTCTCGGTGTCTGTGCCACAGTTTTTAAAGCTGGCTTTGAGCCCATCTTTAAATCTCTTTTCCGGTCCTCCAGCATTATGTTTTCTGTTCTTGAGTTAAGTGTAGAGCAACTGCTTTGGGAGATGGTGATCGGGCATTCAGACAATGTGGCTGGTCCAGCAGAGTTGATGTCAGAGGACCATACATCTGAGGCTAGTCCAAAGTAGAAATGATCTATGAATCAAATAAAACAAAAGAAATAAAATTACCTTATGAGGTTAATACAACCTCTTTCCTCCCTCTTCTGTCTAGGTCATGCAAGAATCTTCTCTATCAATACCCAATGATACAACCAGACTCCAGAAAAGACTGGAATAATCAAATGTGTTCACAAAACAATAATATGGAATAATTGGAATCAAACATGGTATCAGTTCTGCAGAAGAGTGGTTCCTTGTTTCCTATGAATGGAATATTCTCATTTTTAAAATGTTTGGTGCTCAATTTTTTTTACCCACTCATGTTTTTTCATGTGGTGTTAATTCATAAGAAGTGTGCATCTGTGATAAATTTGAAGATGCACTAATTGCATTCCTGTCCACATGCAATACCTTCTCAGTGGGTTGCTTAATTAATTGTCCACCTAGATTCTGCTTTTAAAGTTATCAATGCTGCACTTTCTCCTCCCCATCTCTAACCCGATTAATTAGATGGATTGTAAGGTATCTCTACACATATCCTCCCATTTTCTGTCATTGGTATTGGTATGCTGTGTGCAACCTTAATTACAAAAGGGACACAGCTCTCAGCGTGCGCCCTCATCATTGTAACTGCAGTCATGTCAATTTCATTTAGACTTCGTTAATTTCACCTTCACTGGCAATTTCTCTGTAGCTAACTGACAACTTGGTGATGCTCCTATTTACAGAGAGTGGCAAATGAAACTGATTTCCTCTAGAGGCAACACTGATGGAGTGATACCAAATAGGATACATGGTTCTAGAAAACAAAGGCATCACTGATATTCATTGGGAGGGTAGGGATGGCAGATCCAACCCTTAGAGTGATAACAGATTGTTAGGATTTTGTTGCATTGTTGGGAATTACAACCTTCTTCAGGTCTCCTCTAGTAATTTGTTAATTTATTATTCTGTTTGCTTACTGTTTTGTGTGTATGGTCTGGTATGCAGCTTCTTTTACTCTATGTTTTCTGAGAGGTTGTAGGAGGGGCTGCAGATCACATGATCTGTTCTGAGACTGATCAGACCTCAGATTCCATTTTGGACAACAGACTTCTTAGATTTTGAGATGTTCAGACCAACACATGCCTGCTGTTATTATTTATTTTATTTATTTATTTACCTTACTTATATACCGCTGTTCTCATCCCGAAGGCGACTCACAGCGGTTCACAACAAATACGAACAGCAAAAATTAGTGCTACAGTATAGAAACAGTTAACAACCTAACACATTACACAATTAATAACAGTTACTACAATACCCATTCACTGTCGTCTCGTCATCAAAAACATGTTCCAGATTCGTCATCCATTGTGCCATCTGCACACAGAGATTATCTCAAACATATTTAAAACTGGACTGATAAGCCGTGAACCTGTGTTATGCTGAACACATGAAGGTTGTGAGTACCAAATATGTTATTTTACCAAAGCTTATGTCATTTTTGTTTCTTGAGTGCATGATATAAAACTAATTGTTTTATGGGAGAATTGATATTTAGGGCACTGAAAAACACTTCTGAAACTCTGCTGTTTTTATGCACTGGCAAATCTTTTCCTAACAGATCAGAGACAATAGGTTCCATCTAACAACTGAAGACAATTGCCTTTCATATTACATTTGGTGGTATACCACTTGAGAAGATTCTATTCATATGGGTTTTTGGCTCTTCTTTGAAAGGCCATGCTTTCCCAAAAGTTTATGATCTCTCAATGGTTATGAATGCCATTTTCCAAAATGTGTGAACTCACTACCATTCCATTCTCATTGATAGCATATACTGTTTGAGCACATTTGATATTGCACTCTCTTCAACTATGCAATTGTAACCCTTCACCAGTTTGTGCCCCCATGATCCTACTTCTGCTTACCTTGTAATCCCACCTTTCTTCACAACTGTGCTTTCATTTCTTAAAATGTATATTCCTGAGCAATTTGAAAAACAAAGGAGCTTTGAAAAACAAATAAAAGGCAACTCCAACTATAAAAGTAATATAAGTGGAAAGGACAGCTTGTGAATAGCAAGGAGGAAGAGAAGAATCCTGTATTCTGAGGTCACTTTACTGCTGGCATGCTGGCACAGAAGCATC